AAGTGCTGTTTGACCAGGAGGTGGGCCCATTCCCAGAAGCCAGGCCTGGGGCCCAGGCTGGCTCCCTAGCTGGGTCAGAATCTCCAGATGATGGGTCCTGTGCGGGGGTGGCCGGGGGAGGGGGGGCAAAGGGACTTGCTTTTTTTTTTTAAGATTTTATTTATTTGACAGAGAGAGAGAGTGCGCACAAGCAGGGGGAGCAGCAGGGAGAGGGAGAAACTGAAGGTAGCTGGAGAGAGTCTCAGTCCAGTGAGGAAAGCCTCTGAGCATGGGGCAGGAAGCGGAAGCCTGCCTTCTGGCTGCTGGGGAGCTTGGGCAGTCGGCCAGACCACAGGTGGGGTGAGGGGGTCTGCCACATCTAGGGACAGAAGTGCCTGAGGCAGCATGGCAGGGTGGCCAGGAGCCGGGGTTTGGGTCCCCATCCTGGCTTTGACTTCTGCCTCTGTCGCTTCCTGGCTGAGTGCAACTCACTTCCCTGGTTCCTTGGATGTATCAGGAGCCCCCCCAACTCCCCTTCATGGAGTTGATAGGACAGAATGAGTAAGATACCTGCAAGGTGCTAAGCCCAGAACTGGTGACGAGCTTCGTCATCAGGGGCTATGGTGAGTCTCGCCTGGTAGAGATGGCGCCGTCTGGCTCCGCTTTCTCTCCCTTCTCTGGGACTGTCACACAGACCATGACCGCTGTAGTCACTGTGCAGGGTGCCCGGGCACTGGGAGGGGACTTTCCTGCCCGCTTCTGCTACCAGCCACTTTCTGGCTTTGTGGGTGGTGCGAATGGGCAGGTGGCTCCAGACTCCTCGCCCACGCTGCTCCTGGAGAATTGTGCTTCAGTGCCGCTCTTGAATCCCAGCCACCTGCGCAAGCCCTGGACCCACCTGGCCCTTATTCTCCACTTGCCTCCCTGACTGGTGTTGGCGGGCAGCCCTACTTTCAATGAGAGAATGTACTTAATGGGGCCTGGTCTCTGCAGATGTAATTTACAAAACAGGAGATCGGAAACAATGTAAACGTTGGAGGATTGTAACAGTGAGCGGAGGGTTCACTGTATGAATTCATGTAACCCTCAGGACAACTATGAAGGAGGCACTGTGATCACCCCTTTTACAGATGAGGGAACTAACGCACAGGGAGGCTGAGGCACTTGCCCAAAGTCACAGCACTGACGAGTGCTAAAGCTGGCATCTACACACTTGTCCCTGACCGCGGATCCGGCCCTGTCCTTGCACAAGGTCATCTGTGTACTTGAAGCTGATTGTGCCCTCGGAGTTCAGAGGCTCGGTCTGATTAAAACTGGGGATGGGCGTAGCTAGGGGCGGGCCACAGGATCCAGACCTGCCAAGGCTAAAGGCCCCCTTCTCTTTCTCCCTGTACATCCCTCCCTGCATCCCGCCGCAGCCATGGTCTGGAAGAAACTGGGCTCCGGCAACTTCTCCGACTGCCCCAATGGCTCCCGCCAGTGGATATGGGACGTGTTCGGCGAATGCGCCCAGGACGGCTGGGATGAGGCCAGCGTGGGCCTGGGTTTGATCTCCATTGTCTGTTTTGCAGCATCCACCTTCCCGTGAGTAATGGCGGGGGGGGGGGCGGGACCAGGACAGGGGGCGGGCTGGGGCGATGGCTTCAGGCACTGCCTGGAGGAGGGTCTGCCTGACCGGCCTTGAGCCTCTCCAGACTCAAGGCCAAATGTACTCCCATTCACTGATTTCCAGCCCACCCTGGAGGGCCCTGTCCTGGAGCCCACCCTAGGGCTCGCCTTGGCTGGGCAATGCCAACGCACAGATGATAGTAACAGTATTAACCCTTAGTGCTGTTTGTTCAGTGCATGCGACGTACCTCAGTTCTGAGCACTTGACGTGTTTTTACCTCATTTAAGCCTCATAACCCTGTGAAATAAGTAGTTACTGTTCCTATTTATGAGGGAACGGAAAGCCAGAGAGACTAAGTCACTTGTTCTAGGTTACACAGCTGAGAAGAAAGGAAGCAGAGGGGTGGGAGGGCTGACATGCCCCAAACACAGCCCTCGTCCGGTGACCGTCTGGTGATGGGGTGGAGCGAGCAGTGATTACAAGACAGTGTGACCACTGCTGTGATTGAGGAACGGGAACACACTGTGACCTGGGAGAGTCACTTTGCTGCCCTGTACCTCAGCTTCCTCATCTGCAAAATGGCAATGTTGTTCCCGACCTCCCAGGGCTGCTGTGAGGATGGGACGAGGGAGTGTTCATAAAGCACGGGACTCAGGGCCTTTGTACCATGTGGGCACTATCCCATGGCTGGGCAGAGTGTGTGGGGGTCAGGGGCACAGGGAGAGGTGAGGTCGCAGAGGTCACCAAGAACCCTGTAATGTGAGGCTTCTCCACTGTTAGGAAATTGGCTCTTTATCCTGAGGGAGAAAGATAAGGGTTTAATCAGGAGCTCAACATTTTCTAAAAATAGCTTTATGGAGAGAGAGTCCACATACCATGTAATTAGCCCATTTACATGTATAATTCAGTGTTTTTAGTGTATCTGCAGAGTCGTGTAACCAATGCCATAATCAGTTTTAGAATACTGTCATCACCCTAAAAAGAAACCCCCAAAGCAATGAGTCATTCCTGATTTCCCTCGAAGCTCCCAGGCCCTGGCAACCAGCCGTCTACCTCCTGTCTCTGTAGATTTGCCAACTCTGGACATTTCCTGTAAATGGAACCATAGAGCATGTGAAAGACCAGCTTCTTTCACTTAACAGAACGTCTTCAAGAGTTACCTGTGCTGTAGCAGGTGTCAGGACCTCATTCCTTTGTGCATAATGTTCCACTGTGTGATACGCTACCTTTTATTCATTCATTCACTGATGGATGTTTGGTCTGCTTCTACTGTGAACATTCATGTGCGAGTTTTTGTGGGTACATATGTTTTTACTTCTCTTGGGTATATGCTTACGTAGTGAAATTGCTGGGTCATAGAGTAACTTTGTGTTTAATCTTTTTAAGGATTTTTTTTTTCTTAAGATTTATCTGACAGGGAGAGACACAGCGAGAGAGGGAACACAAGCAGGGGGAGTGGGAGAGGGAGAAGCAGGCCTCCCGCGGAGCAGGGAGCCTGATGCGGGGCTCGATCCTAGGACCCCGGGATCACAACCTGAGCCGAAGGCAGATGCTTAACGACTGAGCCCCTCTTTTAAGGATGTTTAAAAAACATTATTAAGTCCCGGTTTCATGACTTGGCCTAGCCCTAATGGCATCATTTGGGGCCTCTGGTTTTCTTTTCCTTTTCTTTTTTTTCTTTAGATTTTATTTTTTTAAAATAATCTCTACACCCAACATTTGGCTCAAACTTACAACCCCGAGATCGAGAGTCGAGAGTCACGTGCTCCACAGACTGAGCCAGCCAGCTGGGCGCCCCCTGTGGTTTTCTTTTTCACAGGGAACTGTCAGACTGTTTCCCAAAAAGGCTGTACCATTTTCCATTCCCTCCAGCCGTGTGTGAGGTTCCAATGTGTCCGTATCCTCATCAATGCACATTTTCTATGTGTATTATTATAGCCATCCTAATGGTTGGAAGTGTTATCACGTTGTAGTTTATGATTTGAATTTGCCTGACGGCTAGTGATGTTAAGTAGCTTTTCATGTGATTTTGGCCATTTGTATATCCTCTTTGGAAAAAGGACTGTTCAGATCCTTTGCCTATTTTTCAATTGGATTATTTGCCCTTTTGCTGTTGAGTTGTAAGAGTTCTTTTTAAGATTTTATTTATTTATTTGAGAGAGAGAGAGCGTGCACTGATCGGGGGGATGGGCAGAGGCAGAGGGAGAAGCAGGTTCCCTGCTGAGCAGGGAGCCCGCATGATTCCAGGACCCTGGGATTGTGACCTGAGCTTAACTGACTGAGTCACCCAGGTGCCCCTGAGTTGTAAGCGTTCTTTATACATTCTGGATACGACAGCCTCATGATCTGCAAATATTTTCTCCCATTCTGTGGGTTCTCTTTTCACTTTCTTGATTGCATCCTTTGAAGCACAGAAGTTCTGCAGGTGGATGATGTACAGTTTATCTCTTTTTTCTTTTTTGCTTGTGCTTTTGGTGTCATATCTAAAAAAACATCGTCGCAGGGTCCCTGGGTGGCTCAGTCATTAAGTGTCTGCCTTCGGCTCAGGTCATGATCCCAGGGTCCTGGGATCGAGCCCCGCGTCGGGCTCCCTGCTCCGCGGGAAGCCTGCTTCTCCCTCTCCCACTCCCCCTGCTTGTGTTCCCGCTCTCACTGTGTCTCTCTCTGTCAAATAAATAAATTTTTAAAAAAATAAAAAATAAAAAAATAATAAAAATAAAAAAACATCGTCACCTAATCCAAGTAACAGAGATTTACCCTGATTGTAACCGGGGTTCAGGGGCGCAAGAGCATTGGGCTCTGGGTAGGGGGCCACCCAGCCAGATCAAGTTCAGCCACTCGCCACTGACAAAATCCAAAGGCAGAGACATGAGTGGTGGTGAAACGAGAAAGGAATTTATTTCTGTGAGGCCAACACCGGCAAAACCACGGACTGGTGTTTCTAAGACTGTCTCCTAAGTGCTGATGATACTTCCAGAATTATATAAGGAAAGCGAGGAACAATGGTCGGTGGGTACATGCAGGGGCACGGGGAAGTCAGGTGGGTCATTGTCTTGGGCTTAGTCCCTCTGGGTCTTCCGGACATGGGGCAGTCCTTGTTGCTTCAGCGGGTAGTTTCGGTTCCCTTCTGGATGCTTTGTGCACAGGGTCTTTTGCCTGAGTTAAGGGATAAGCCAGAAAGAAGAACTTAATCAATTAGAAAGTTTGAGGTCAAGGAGCACCTGGGTGGCTCAGTCAGTTAAGCCTCCGACTCTTGATTTTGGCTCAGGTCTTGATCTCACGGTGGTGAGTTCAAGCCCTGTGCTGGGTGTGGCGCCTACTTAAAAATATATATATAGAAATTTGAGGTCAGGGGCGCCTGGGTGGCTCAGTTGGTTAAGCAACTGCCTTCGGCTCAGGTCATGATCCTGGAGTCCTGGGATCGAGTCCCACATCGGGCTTCCTGCTCAGCAGGGAGTCTGCTTCTCCCTCTGACCTTCTTCCCTCTCGTGCTTTCTATCTCTCATTCTTTCTCTCTCTCTCAAATAAATAAATAAAATCTTTAAAAAAAAAAAAAGAAATTTGAGGTCAAAATGAAGGTAGTCAAGCTCTCTTGCATTATCTTTTCCTCTAACAGTTTTATAGATTTGCCTCATTCTGACACCAGTGTCCATGTGTGTTTTTTCCCACACTGCCAAGCATCTAATGCCATTCAGACACTGTCTTCCGTGGGACGGCATCAGATCCCACAGATGAAGGGCTCAGTCCCACAAGACTGCCCCTACCCCTCCAGATGTCAGTCACAAGTTCAGGTTGTCACTTCTGCTTCTGGTTGGTGTAGACCAGCTATAGACTGGAGGTCTCAACAAACCCCCTACCTGGTTTTGATTAATTTGCTAGAGCGGCTCACAGAAAGAGAAACATTTGACTCACTGGTTTATTACGAAAGGGTACAGGGAACGGCCAGATGGAAGAGATGCACAGGGCAGGGGTGCAGACAGGGGTATGGAGCTTCCCGTTCCTCTCCCAGGGCGCCACTCTCCCTGAACCTCTGCACATTCACTGACCCAGAAGCTCTCCGAACCTGTCCATTTGAGTTCTTCTGGAGGCTTCACTGCACAGGAATGATTGATGACATCATTGGCCATTGGTGATTGAATTCCATCTCCAGCCCCTCCCCTTCCCCAGAGGTTGGGAAAATGGGACTGAAAGTTCCAAGGGTTTAATCACATCATGTCAGCCAGCCCTCACCTCTAGGTGACCCAGAGGCTTTCCAAAAGTCACCTCATTAATTAACAAAAGGCACCTTTATTGCTCAAATCACTTAGGAAATTCCAAGAGTTTTAGGGACTTTCTGCCAGGGATGGGGTGAAGACCAAATATATGTCTGTCTTCCTTCTATCCTTTCCTTTCCTTTCCTTTCCTTTCCTTTCCTTTTCCTTTCCTTTTCCTTTCCTTTTCCTTTCCCTTTCCTTTCCCTTTCCTTTCCCTTTCCTTCCTTCCTTCTTCTTCCTTTCTTCCTGAGGGGAGAGGGAGAGAGAGAATCTTAAGCAGGCTCCAAGCCCAGAGTGGAGCCCGAAGTGGGGCTTGATCTCAGGACCCTCAGATCATGACCTGACCCAAAAACAAGACTCTGTACTTAACCAACTGAGCTACCCGGGTGCCCCTATGTTTCTTATTGTAAATCACAATATAACAAGTTAGCTTTTAAATTTAGGTCTGTTAAAAAACAAAATTACCGGGGCGCCTGGGTGGCTCAGTCGTTAAAGCGTCTGCCTTCAGCTCAGGTCATGATCCCAGGGTCCTGGGGTCGAGTCCCACATCGGGCTCCCTCCTCTGAGGGAAGCTGGCTCTCCCTTTCCCTCTCCCACTCCCGGTGCTTGTGTTTCTGCTCGTGCTATCTCTGTCTCTGTCAAATAAATAAATAAAACATCTTAAAAAAATAAAAAAATAAAAACGCCTTTAAAAAAAATTACCCTTATTAAATTTGAAGACACAATTGGTTTTGTTAAGCCATTCATGAATTGGGCAGCATCCCATCTAGCAAATAGAGAGATGTTCTAAGGAGTTTTATAAAATGGAAGGTTTTTATAGGAAAGAGGGTGGGGCAAGAAATTATTAGCAAAAAAAAAAGGGATTATATCAGGCAAGTTCATTTTCCTGCAGGGGGTCTTAGTAGATGATCTCATCTTCCTTTGTGGGGGATGGAGAGGGCCCATGTGACAGATGACCTCATTGCTACTGACCAGAAAATTCCTGACCAGTTAAGACTACATTCCTGGGGGAGGTTGAAATGTGCTTAGATTTGTCATTATGCCCCTGTTCGGTGATTTGGCCTAAGTGACTCCATCTTGGGTTGTGGTTTTCTTTTTAATGGGTCTTTGATACAGTTTGAGTTGTATTTTATATATGGTGTGGGGTAGGGGTCCAGTCTCATTCTTTTGTATGGAGATAACTGGTTGTCCCAGTCCATGTGTTTCAAAGACCCTTCTTTCCCCCATGGAATTATCCTAGTACCTCATTGTGGACTTGACATTTTTACTGAGGCCACAGTAGGTATGGTGAAAGTAAACAAAACAGATGCCTTCCTTGCCTTTGCAGAGCTTCTGTTCCTGCTACCTTTAAAAGGCAGTCGGGGGCGCCTGGGTGGCTCAGTCGGTTAAGCGACTGCCTTCGGCTCAGGTCATGATCCCGGAGTCTCTGGATCGAGTCCCGCATCAGGCTCCCTGCTCGGCGGGGAGTCTGCTTCTCCCTCTGACCCTAACCCCTCTCATGTGCTCGCTCTCTCTCTCTCTCATTCTCTCTCTCAAATAAATAAATAAAATCTTAAAAAAAAATACACTTGATCTTAGCCAAAAGGCCAAAAAGCGATAAAATCTTTAAAATAAAAAAATAAATAAATAAAAAGGCAGTCAGGGAGTCATAGGGAGGAAAGCCTGGCAGGACAGGGAGTGAGGCTGGAGGCAGGGAGGCCACCTTGGAGGCCATGGAAGCCGTCCAGCAAGAAGCGGTATCGGGGGCATTGGGGACACCCTGTGTAGGCTGACTGGACAGGTGTGGGTGACCGCTGGAGGCCGAGGGAGAGAGACACCCTGTTCCGGAGCGAGAGCCTGCTCTAGGACTCTCTGAGGAGCTGGCTGAGGCTTCCCCTTCCTGCCATGACATAATGTTGGCCCTGCGTGAGCCTGGCTGACGAACCAGTGAGGGGGTCAGAGGCCTGGGAGAGAGCCCCAGGTGACAGCAGGAAGGGCGGCTGCCTTCGTGCTCCTCCTCAGGACTCAGCCTTTCTTGGGTGTGATAAAATCACTTTCCCTGCAATTTAATGGAGACTTGCCAAGTCCCACGTCCTAGAAGGGGCTTTAGGGGCCATAGGATAGACCTTAATTAGGGGCCTCCCTGATGCCAGGCCTGAGCTGGACACTATCCCTGCCCTCAGGAGGCTTGAGTCCCGGAGGGACAAGGATGTCCTGTGTTACAAAGGAGGAAGTAGGAGACACGGGCGAGCTGTGTCCAGGAAGGCCGTGGGGAGGAAGTGACGTTTCCTGAGCCGTGAAAGACAAAGAGGAGGGAGTGGGCTGGCTGCCTGCCAATGAAGAGTCTGGAGAAAGGGAAATAAGTCCTGGTGGAGGGGGCAGGGCGGGGGGCCAGCTGGCCCTGGGGGCCTCCCTGAAGAGCAGGGGAAGGCTCCGAATGCTTGTGGGGAGCCTGGGGTTTTAGATCCTTGAGAGGGAGCAGATTCAAGGGGAGCCAGGCTTGGATAGGAGACAGAGAGGCACGTGGCTGGGGTGTTTGTGCGAGGGGGGTGTCTCCACAGGAGGAGGGGAAGGAGGTTTGGCCGTGGGAAGATCCAGGGCCATACCCGGCTTTTCTCAGTTTCCGACTTGGGTGTTGTGGGGGATGAGGTGCCATTTAGCCCCCTTTTATTTATTTATTTATTTATTTATTTATTTTTAAGATTTTATTTATTTATTTGAGAGAGAGAGAATGAGAGATAGAGAGCACAAGAGGGAAGAGGGTCAGAGGGAGAAGCAGACTCCCCGCTGAGCAGGGAGCCCGATGTGGGACTGATCCCGGGACTCCAGGATCATGACCTGAGCCGAAGGCAGTCGCTTAACCAACTGAGCCACCCAGGTGCCCTAGTCCCCTTTTATTTAAAAAAACACACAGACGAGGGGCACCCGGGTGGCTCAGGCAGTTAAGCAGCCCGCTCTTGGTTTCGGCTCAGGTCATGGTCTTGGTTGTGAGATCGAGCCCTGAATCAGGCTCTGTGCTCAGGGCTGACTCTGCTTGGGATTCTCTCTCTCTCTCTCTCTCTCTCTCTCTCTCTCCCTCCCTCTCCCTCTCTCCCCCTCTCCCTCCCTCCCCCTCTCCCTCCCTCCCTCCCCCTCTCTCTCCCTCCCTCTGCCCCTCCCCCGCTCATGCTCTAGCTCTCTCTCAAATAAATAAATCTTTAAAAAAGTTAAAAAGGATTCCTTCTCTCCCTCTGCCCTCCCCCCCACTCTCTCTCTCTCTCAAAATAATAATAATAAATAAAATAAATATACAGAAGATTAAACAGAAAAAGAGTAAATGGCAGTTGCGTGAAGGTTAGGAGGGACTCGAGAGGGAGGGGCTGGGTCCGGAGGGCTGTGAGCCTGGCTCCGAGCCTCCCTGTGACCTGATTGGCCCAGTCCCGAGGAGGAGCAATAGTGACTACCCCTGCCCTCAGGGGGTTCTGCAGGACTGAAAGAGTTAATATGCCCAAAGGGCTCAGAACTCTGCCTGAGGCCCATTACCTGTGGCCTGTTGTCAGCACTGAGCTCATGCTGACACTTGGCCTCTGAGAAAACAACCAGAATATCCAAAGCTACAAGCCACGGGGCAGTAATGGAGAGCCATCCCGCCCTGCCCCATTGCCCTTTGAAGGTCATGGGCTGTGGTTTGGCCTATCTTATCATCATCAACCCCTCCTGGAGATAGGGCAGCGCCAGGCCATGGCTCCCTGCCACCACCACCACCACCACCACCACCACCACCACCGTCCCTTTCACCGCCCCCCGCCCCGCTTCCCCTCCATAGAAGAAAGAATGCAGGGTCCCTGTGACGTGGTTCTCTTCTTGGAGCATGGTGGTGGCGGGGGGCAGTGACACAAAACTCCGGGTCCCCACTGGGAGACTCTAGGGTGCTCTGGAGGGGAATCTGAGGAATGCTATGGATGACTCTGGAAAGATGCACCTGCCATGGATTTCCCTGGTTGGAAGAGAATCCGCTGGTAAGAATCCCCAAAGGACACCGAAAGGTTCCTGCTCCCACCTGCCGGCAGGATGGGCTCACAAGCAACTTCCCTGCTTCCCCGGCCCGGGCCGCCTCCTGCCCTGAGCCCGCGTCTTCTCCCTCCTTGGCCGCAGCCAGTACATCAAGGCCTGCAGGACCGGCAACATGGACCAGGCGCTGTCTCTGTGGTTCCTCTTGGGCTGGATCGGAGGAGACTCCTGCAACCTCATCGGGTCCTTCCTCGCCGACCAGCTGCCCCTGCAGGTGGGTCCGAGCGGGGACGGCCCCGGCAGGGGGAGGGCCCCGCACTGGAGAGCGCGCCCTCCGCCCCGCCGTGCGGCGTGACAGGCGGCTTGTCGGTACCCTTCTCCGGGCCTCAGTTTCCCCATCTGCGAAACGAGCACACCAAACCAGAGGATGGCTCTGGGGTGCTGAGGTCCTGACTGAGCTGCCAGGGTGTGGGGCCACAGAGGAGGAAAGGTTTCCCTCGGGGGGCGGGGGGCGGTGGCAGGTGCCAGGAATCCCAGCCGGGAATCCATCGTGTTCCCCAGCGGGACGGTTCCGTCTTCGCGGCTCCTGTGCCCGGCCACGCCGGAGCCCTCCCTTAACCGCCGAGTCCCACTCTGTCCCGGCGAGGCGCGCCCGCCCCCTGTCCTCCCTCTGTCCGGGGGGGGGGGGGGGGGGGGGGGGGGGGGGGGGGGGGGGAGGGGGGAGGGCCGCTGGCGGCCTGCTCTCGAGTTCTGCCGGCTGGACGCAGAGAAGGACACGGGAGGGCAGGGTGGTGACGTGGGTCGGTTGGGCCACGCCGCCGCTGCGGGCCCGCGCCTCTTGCAGACCTACACGGCGGTGTACTACGTGCTGGCCGACCTGCTGATGCTGGCCCTCTACTTTCACTACAAGTTTAAGAAGTGCCCCTCTCTGCGTGAGTGTGGGGAGCGGGGCGGCGGGAGGCAGTGGGCTTCGCACCGTGCAGCGGTCACCGCTCCGGCCTTGTGGGCGACCCCGCGCCCACAGCCCCGGAAGGCCGAGATGGGCCGGACCACGGGCTTGCTCTTTCTTCCCTTGGGTCGCGTCCCACAATCGTGGCTTCAGCTGTTCCTCTGTACCTGGCCCTGGGCTTGGACACAGGTCACCGCTGCCCCTGAGGATCGAGAAGGGGCGGGAGTCAAGGTCAGAGGGAGGCACTTGGGGGTGGGGCTGTCTCATGAGCATGTCTGCTCTGGGTGACCCCCTCCTGCCCTTGTCTCTCCTTTACAACCCTGGGAGAAGGGTGCTGTTATTACACCCATTCTACAGAGGAGGCATTAAAGCTCAGAGAGGTCAGGTTCCTTGCCCAGAGTCACATAGCCGCCGAAGGGCAAGGCCAGGACTCAAGTCCTGGTCTGTTTGCTGCCACTGGTACCTGACCTTGGCTTCCCTCCTGTCTCCTGTCCAGTGTCTACCCCCATCAATTCTGTGCTGCTCTTCATCCTGGGGGTGGTGTATGCCTTCCCGCTGCTGAGGACCACTGGCCCGGTGGCTGCCCCGAGGGAGGTCTTCCGGGGCCGCACGCTCCTGTCAGTGGAGCCGGGCAGTAAGGTGAGGTGTGGGTCAGTGCCGGGGGGGTGTGGGCTGGGGACCGGCTTGTCCCGATGGAGCGGGGATCGCATGCCGCACCTCTGGCCCCTCCCGGGCACTGAGCAGCCCCCTGCCCTCTCAGCCCTTCACTCAGCAGGAAATCATCGGTTTCGCCATCGGCTCTGTCTCCAGTGCGCTCTACCTGCTGTCCCGGCTGCCTCAGATCCGTACCAACGTGAGCCGGGGGCAGGGGCAGGGGTGGGGGTGGGGGGCCCCCGCCGGGTCAGGGTGTGGGGTCTTTGTGCAACAGGTCTGGGTTCAAACTGCCAGTCGGCTTAAGTGCATCCAGTTCTGCAGGCCTCAGTTTCTGCCCCTGGGAAGTGGGCACGATGAGGCCTGTCTCGAGGGACACGGGTGTCCCGTGTGTGTCTCAGAGAAGCAGCGGGTCAGGTGAGGAGCCCAGGGCCCGGCCGACAGTCCTGAAAGATGGGGAGAAAGGGGCGTGGTGGGCCCGGGGAGGCTGGCAGGGCGGCCAGTCTCCCGCGGACCGGGCGCACGGTGACAAACCCGCTCAGAGCGTGTCCAGTGGGACGGGGCAGCGTGACAGGAACCCTGGCCGAGGCCTCTGACCCCAGTCCCCCTTACCCCCAGTTCCTGAGGAAGTCGACGCAGGGCGTCTCCTACTCGCTGTTCGCCTTGGTGATGCTGGGGAACACGCTGTACGGGCTGAGCGTGCTGCTCAAAAACCCCGAGGTGGGCCAGAGCGAGGGCAGCTACCTGCTGCACCACCTGCCCTGGCTCGTGGGCAGCCTGGGCGTGCTGTTGCTCGACACCATCGTATCCTTCGGGGGCGGGGGCATGGCAGCCTGTCAGGGCGGGTGCGGGGAGGGAAGAGGGAGCCAAGGCCCCCAGGGGCACGTCCATCCCAGCCTCTGCTCGGTTTGGCCTTGACGTTGGCCCCTCCAGATCTCCATACAGTTCCTGGTGTACAGGGACACGGCCACGTCCTTGGAGCGTCAGCCCCTCCTCCCCAGTTGACCCGGACCCAGGCCAAGCCCGGGACTACGGGGACCTCCAGATGCCGCTCCCAGGAAGGGACAAGTGTGGGCAGACATGGTGCTGCTGACCCTGGACTGGGCTGTGGAGGCGGCCGGGGGCACCTTGAGGGCCCGGCCCAGCTGCCTCCCCCACCTCCGAAACCTCCTGGCCGACTCTTCCAGGAACCCTGACTGGCTGACTCTTCAGGGAGCGGGGAGCAAGAGGGTTGCGGGGGCCAGCCCCTCCCCGAGTCTGAGGCTGCTGTCCCTGGGAGCCTCGAGGGAGGGGCTGCAGCGGAGACCTCGGCCCCTTCGAAGGCAGTGGGCGCCCCTCGACCCACCTCCCTCCATCTGCCTGCACACCCCCTGGAGCGGGGTGCACCTGCAGCTGGGTGTCCCCAGGACTGTCCCGTTGACTGCAGACAGCCCAGTAAACGGTACCTCCCAGTGAGGCCTCTTTCTGTTGCTCCTTCCCCAAGGTGCTGCGGTCTGGGCTGCTGTGGGCAACAGTGGCGCGCGGGGATCTGGACCCCAGCTTCTGGGTCCCAGGTGGGGGCCTGGAGGTCGGGATATGGCAGAGCCGAGCAGGAGCGGACTGCCCAGCCTCCGGGGGACCTCGGGTTTTCTCACCGGCTTCTCTGTGACAGACCCCACGCCTGGGGCTGAGGAGACAGGCCCCTCAGTGCTCAGGAAGAAGCAGAATAGTTAAGGTTCAGATCGTAGTTCTGCTGCTTTGCTTCTCTGTGCCTCAGTTACCTCATCTGTGAAATGGGATGTATGTTATAAGATGGTGCAATTAGCGGAGGTTAGCCCCGAAGTCTGGCATGTGGTTAGCACGCCATAAAGGTTCGCTTTGATAATTTTCAGTTGGAGGAGAGGCACTTCCAGATCTCCCCGCAGATCAGGGAGACCTTCCTGGAGGAGGTGACATGCAGAAGGCCGGGCAGGAGATAACAGGGGAGAGGGGGCTGTGGCAGGCAGGAGGAAGGAGGTGCAAGAGCAGTGGGAAGGGAGGAGAGGACAGGGCTCAGCCCTGAGCTCTAGTCCTGGGCCCCAGCCTCACTTCGTCTCCCACACCCCGTTCTGAGTCCACTTATTGGCCATGACCCTGTGGGTGCCTGAAGGGCTGGGTCCGGGAGAGAAGCTGTGGCTCAGGCTTTCTGAATTTCCTCTACCTGCCCCGGGGATGGGAGGGAGCTCGGCAGTGGGGCCTGCAGCCCAGTCTGGTGCCGCATAGATTGGCCCAGGCTGCGCTGGGTGCTGGGGCCGGGGGGGGGCAATGACCCCGGCTCCGGTCCTTGTCCTCACGGAGGGAAGCCGGCTGCCGGGCCCTGGGGGTAAGGGCTTTGACCAGAAGGTACAAAGTGCCATCAGAAAGAGGAGACTCCCCAGGGAAGGCCTCACGGAGGAGGAGCCCAGGAGCTGAATCCTGAAGGCGGAGGGACGTCAGGAAGGGCCAAAGGTGTGTGCACGGGCCTGAGCTGGGGTCGCTGCAAAGCCAGGCTGAGTGTAGACAGGGTCGTGGGGCCGGGGCCAGGGCGCACAGCAGGTCGGGGGAGAGAAGGCAGGAATTGGGGTCCGGGAGACCAGGGAGAGCCTCTTTTGAGGTTCAAGTGGGCAGTGAGGCGAAGTCGGGCCAGCGTCCCCCGGGCCCTTCCTGGGTCGTGCCTGCAGAGCACCGTGTGCAGCCCCACACGGGGCTGGTGTTTGTTGAGCACGTGCTGTGTGCTGGGCTGGGCTGTGCCCTATGGGATCGGTGCAGTTGGGATGGCCAGTTGACAGATGGAAAACAGGCTTTGAGGGATCAAGCGGCTTGCTCGAGGTCGAGCAGCTTTTCAAACCCCATTCTGTCCCTCCGCTGCAGGGGCCGTCCCACACCTGGCCGGGACTGGGGCTCTCGGGGTTCAGAGATCGGGGCCGCGTGCCGCCCAGCTTCCCCTCGCTCTCAGGGGCGGCCCAACCCTGCGGGGCTTAGGCTCCCTTCCCATTTCCTCGAGCCCCTGGCCCCGTCCCAGGCGAAGGTGCCCCCAGGCCCCCGCTGGCTCAGGCCTGGGCCTGGGCCTGGTTCAGATGCCCTTTGCCGGGCAGCGGCTGGCTCCACGCAGGGCCGTGACCTCACTTGATGCCAGTTACCGGGGGCTCCGTCATATGGCAGCGAGAGCCCCAAGGGCCGGCGCAAGTCAGAGCTGCGGGGAGGAGATGGAGTGTCGCAGCCCTGCCCGGAAGCCCTCACCTCGTGAGGGTGACCTCATCCCTTTCTTCCGGGAAGCACCGGGTCGTCTGTGGGGTGCTGGCTCTTGCTTTCCAGCACTGCCTAGTGGGCTGCTTCCTCCTCAGGAAGCCCCTGGTCTGATGGCTGTGGCCCGGGCCCTGGCAGTGCCCTGTCTGAGGAGGAGGAGGTGGTGGAGTGCTCGTGCCCCAGCGCCTGGCACCGGGTGACATTAGCTTCTCCAGTGCCCGGGCCTCCCCAGCTGACGGATCCGTTCGTTCCTCTGCACCAGCGGGGCCACGCGCAGGGGAGAGGCGCCCCGGCGGACTCCCTTTCTCCCCGGGGTGCACGCCTCTTTACCTCGCTGCAGGCGGGGGGTGGCCCGAAGGGATGAGCACCCCCGCCTTAGACCCGTCCTCCCGCCTGACTTTTGCGTGGGCTCAGTGGAGGTCTGCATCTGGGTTTCAGGCCCAGGCTCACCCAAGAAAGGGGCACTGCCCTGGTCACTTGTCAGTTGTCCTTGTCCGGGAGGGATTCTCCCTCTGGACACTCATGGGGAGCAGGAGCCTGGGCCAGTCACCCCTAAAGAGCCCTCCCTTGGCAGTTCATATTTTAACTATTGAATGAGATGCCGGGTGCGCAAACGCCTCACACAGCGTCTGGTCCCAGTGTCCCCCCTGAATCCTGGGGGGGCAGGAAAAGCTGGCTGGCGGGCAGGTGGCAATCTCCTACAAAGCAGAAGGAAGGGCCCAGCGTGCCCGTCCTCAGCATGTGGCCCCAGGCCCTCCCAGCCCGGGATTATTCAGCGAACGTGGGATTTTTTAAGCCACAGCTTGGACATGGCCTTCAGTCCCCAAAGTTGAGAGAGGGGAGCAGCCCATAGCTCATTCCCCTCCCCTCTTTACTTCTCCTGCTGTTGGACTTGGCTTTCACTGTTGTTGAATAGAGGGACCGCAGAGGCCGCTGGGTAGACAGCCAGGTGCTGAGACCTAACTACTTGCCCCAACTTGCACACGCTAACCTGATCAGGTTAGTGTTAGCCCCATGGCAGGGAGTGGGGATCGCCTTCTGCTGCGGGTTAACTCCCTTCACCTGAAAACTATTGATCAGTCCCCTAGCCCTGTGACAGCCCTGAGGACGCAGCCACCCACTGGGATCTCTGTGCCCGGCACATAGAAGTGCTCCGTAAAGATTATTTTTATTCATCAGCACTTCCCCACCCCCACCACAGTATGGGCAGACTTCTGTCCTGCTCACCCAGTACACAGTAGGTGCTCAGTAGACGTTTGAGTGAGTGAGTGAATGCCCGAAACAACGTCCCTCAAGGAGCCCTCAATCTGGTGAAGGAGACCGGCATGTAACTCACACAGAATTACTGAATTTGTACACTCAACATGGGGGAAATGTATGGTGTATGAGATCTATCTCAATAAAACTATTTGAAAAAAGATCAAATCAGAGAAGGTTAAATTCGCATGGGAAGTTTTGGGTATAAGAATATATTACATCTTGCAACATTTCTACTCATTTATAGTCCTTACAGAATGACCCAAATGCCTAATATGCATAAGACTGAAGGATTTCATTCACTGGACCGGTTTGAAGATCTGTATGTATGGGACACAGTCTGTTCATTCTAGGAAGCATTAATTGAGCATTTACATTGAAAAGTTGCCCAAGAATGGGGTGCCTGGCTGGCTCAGTCGGTGGAGCGTGTGACTCAATCTTGGGGTCGTGATTTCGAGCCCCACATTGGGTGTAGAAATTACTTAGAAACTTTAGGGATGGGGCGTCTGGGTGGCTCCCGTCGGTTAAGTGTCTGCCTTCGGCTTAGGTCATGACCCCAGGATCATGGGATGGAGCCTCGAGAGCCATGTGTTGGGCTCCCTGCTCAGCGGGGAGCCCGCTTCTTCCTCTCCTGTTGCTATCTCTGTCTCTCAAATCTTTTTTAAAAAGTTGCATAAAAAAGGTAGAGAACAGTGGTAGGAGTGTGTGTCTATGAAGTAATATTTTTTTATTTTTTATTTTAAGATTTTTATTTATGAGAGAGAGAGAGAGAGAGAGAGAGACAGAG